TGATGGAGCGCATGTGAACCAACCTATGGTTGGATGGTTAAAAGGACAGTGGTATCCCTAGCCCATCAGGATACAAATCCTAGTGCTCGCACTTTCTGGGTTTATTTCAGGATTTCCGGCGATGCACGTTCAAGTCATCTACGATGACTTCGTAAATCTCAAGGTGATATGCCGGCTCAATCTTCTAAAGATGCTCATAGAGGTAGGGCATACCTCTATAAGGGTGAAATGTATGCGCGTATATACGAGGGCTTTCTTTTGTACTGTGTTTAAAAAAACTGATGAAGCGCATCAAGCATGACCTTCATTTCGTGCGGCCCGGTACCATTTGGGATGGTATAGAGCACGGGTGCTGCACCCCCCATCGCAAGGGGCGAACACAGACATCGGCGATCCCAATTTAGCTGCGCCTCATGAATGGGCGAGATGGCGGGAAAATTCTACTATTTGCCGCAATGCGGGCCATGGACTAGGCCAATTACTGGTTTCATAGTTGTTCTTCCGCTTCGTTTTCTTCTAGTTTAGCTCGTTTTCTTCTCTGCCCTGAAAATGGTTTTATTCTAAAAAATGTAGGGTTTTCTTGTCAAAGAGAACTGGTTTCCTTTCCGCTAAAAAAAGCTTTAATTTTTTTAAAAGACACAAATCTATTATAGAAGATTATTAAAATTACAAATCACCTTAAACATAATAATAATTACATTGTGGCCACTCGACCACCGTACAGCCACTACCATCGTCAAAACTAGCCGTCGACACACCGTTATTGAAACTCCCATAAGGAGATGGCCTTACCTTGTTGATGATAACAGAAAAATCTTCATGCAGGTGCCCCTGAGGACCAACGCCAGTCGCCACAATCATCGTCTTTGAACACTTGAGTCAATCTAAAAAGTCTGACTGTTGATTATATGGTTGTGCATGTATATTGTATATCTTGGCCCACCTCCTAGTCCTTGTATAGTTGAGGTTGATGCCCACTTTGTACATCCATATATACGCGTGTAATGCACCGACCAATACATCGAGTTGCATTGCCAAAGTAATATCTTCCAACATGGTATCATACCTCCGATCCTAACCCTAAAACATGCCGCCGCTGCGATCTCCATCGCCGCTGCCGTACCTTGCCGCCGCTGCCACACCCTGCTGCCGCTGCCGTCGCGTCTCCACGTTGTCGCCCGTGTCTCAGCCGCCGCCCCCTCCTCCGCTTCCGCCAACCCTCCCCTAACCCTAACCGAAACCGAGTCACGCCGCCCTTCTTCCTCCTGAGCCGCCATGGAGTCCCCCGGATCCTCCGTCTCGACCCGCACCGCATGCACCAACCCGTTCGCCGGCCCCGACCCCGTCATCATTTGCGATCTCAACATCCTCGGTCGGGTTCCCATCATCCTCGATCACCACACCTCCACGTATTATTCCTGGAAGACCTACTTCTCTCTTGTGTTTCGTGAGTACAATCTCCAGGATCACATCGATGGTTCCATGGACTCCTAGTTCATGGTGAATGATGACGAGTGGATGACCATGGACGCCACCCTGATCCGCTGGTTCTACACCACCATCTCGAAGGACCTTTTCCACACGGTGGTCTCCACCGAGGATGATGCTCTCGCCGTCTGGACAAAGCTCAATGGCATCTTCACCGAAAACAAGCTTCAACGCAAGGTTTTCCTGCACGATGAGTTTTTTGGGTGTCAACGGAACGACTCGTCCATTGATGATGATTGCATGCACCTCAAGAAGCTTGTCGATGAGCTCTATGAACTCAGTGAGAAGGTCTCCCACAAGCTTCTCCTCGGCACGCTCATCGCCGACTTGAACGACGACTTCGGGAATGCTGCCTCAAACCTCCCCCTCAGCACTGGTCTGACGTTTCCCAAGGTTGTGGCGTACGTACCTGAATCTCGAGGAACGCAGGATGAAGATGGTGCACACCCGGGCTACTCACACAGCCCTCACCGCCGGCACCCGAGGTGGTGCCCCGCCCGCCGCCCCGGCTCCTTAGCCTCGGCCTGGCCCGCGCCTCTACCAGGCGCCGCCACAGCAGTAGCAGCAGCCGGCCGCCGCCCAGGGTGGCCCCCCTGCCAGCAGCCGCCACCGCATCAGCCAGTGCCCTGGCAGGCCGGCCAGAACCCCTGGATGGGGGTGTTGTTGATGCGTACTCCATGCCCGTACCACGCGCCCTCGTCCCCGGCTTTTTCGGCGCCAGTCCGATGACTCATCAGGCGCTACACGCGGCTCCTCGGCCGTATG